AATGGCCTGATGGGGACTGAAGATATTCAGGAAATCAGAAGAGTCAAAAGATTTCTCCTTTAGAAAAACCAAGGCAAGCACATAGAACTGTCCAGGAGAAGTGCAGACCATCTGCAAGCCTGCATAACAAAATGTTCAGATAGACTAGAAATACAACCAGGAAGAAGCTAAATAAACAAAGTTTACTATATGCAGTGTTATATGGCCACAACTTTGTTATAATTACCCAGCATTGCAATATAAGTCTCAAGTGCCACAGAAGTCTCTGCCTTTGATTCATCCATCCTCTACATAGGACTGGGTTTCAGGACCCTTGAGATCACTAAAACCCCTTAATTTTCTCTATTTAATTATAGTATTATCAGTCATGACCTATGCAACTAATGACAACTCCTGGAAGATAAAATTGTCATTTATAACCTCATGATAACTACACTCATACTGACTACCAGCAGTTAGCTCTTACCTAAAGCCATCAATAGATCAAGCTTTGGAATCACGTAGACCTAGGCTGGAATATCACATCCACCACTTATTAGCTTTAACTTCTCCAGCTATTATGTGTGTGATAGGGATTATACCAGTACTTACTTCACAGGGTTGTGGAGAGGATTAGCTGTGACGACGCAGGTAAAGAACTTGCTGTAGTCGCACACATAGAATACTGGCTACATTCACTATCATTACCACTGGGTTTAATTCATGTACAGATTCTGTTTATTCTTTTTTTAAAGTAAGAATAATAAAGGCTTTCTGGCCATCAATCACTGACACTGGCAAGAGTATGGACTTGAAGGTTCTTGAGCATTTAGCATGTGCTGGGTACTATGCTAGGTCCCGGGGAGAACACGATGAACAACACAGGCATGGCCTCTGTCCTTGAAGAGATGACTCCTTCTCTCCACAAAGTTCTGAACTCTGCAAAAAGTTCATCTCTGGTTTTTACTGCTTAGTATTTCAGGATGCCTCAGAATGATGGTCCCCACCCAGAAAAGAAAATGAACGATTTTACAGGGAGGGGTAGTGCTGGGATGAGGGGCAGCTACGGAGCTGATGGCAGAAGGAATTCACCCAGCTCCCTTGGGTGGGCCCCTCTGAGGGTCTGCAACTCCTGGTCTGCAGGGGCTGAGAACAGTGAGTCTAAGCATTTCAATGTCTGCAATAGGCCCTAAGTTCAAGGCTGCCCCAAGGGCCGAGATCTCCCACACTTGAAAGAAACTGGGTTTCTTCGGCTGCCCCTACTTATTTCACTTCCTCCTTCATGCTTGAGGGTCTTATGTGAAACACAAACCTGGGGCTGTGAGGGGGACCACGGATGGGGCCCTGGCCTGAGCCACTCACCAGAGGAAAGTCATCTGGGTCGATCCACACGATGCTCAGCTCAGGGTTGTCGGCATTGTCCCGGGCAACCTGTTTCAGGATCTCCAGGAACTCGTAGCCATCTGAAGCAGGATTCAAGAAGGTTGAGTAACCCCTGCACACACATGGCTTCTCACGTGGAGAGCAGAGAGTGCAGTTTTTCCACAAGGGTTTCTTAGACCATCGGTGCGT